GAATCACGACACTTGGTAGGAAGGGTTTGGGGGGAAATGAACTGCTCGAAACAAGCGAGGAGGGGTCATGTAAGCATGCGACGTGTGTTTGAATGTGATCCCGATGGAAGAATGAGATGAGACAAGATAAAAGTGTTTGGAGGGACTCACAAAGCGGGCATTCTGGAGGCAGGTCACCACCTCATCCGGTAAGCCGCTAGACATGGCGAGACGGATCAAGAGGGGGGTGAAGACGTGAGTCAAGAGAGGCAGGCTGCGAAAGGTGGACGGTGCTGCCGTGCTTGATCAGGCGCGTGAGGACGGTTGGCAGAACTTCACGGCGGGAAGGATGACGTTGCGTGGAGCTTGTCCGTGCAGCATCTCCGCCTCCGCCGAAGCGCGCGGCATTGCGCATTCCGACGGCGACCCGACGACGCAGCCATTACCTCCTGCCACAACAGCCGCGTCTGCGATGGCTGCCCCGAATGCAATCCCGCCTATGGAGGGCACTGACAGCGTCCATGCCGACCCGAACAGCGTATCGTCGCCCACGCATGATGGTGCCCTCGCCTCGCCCATGGATGAAGCGACTCCCACATCGCCTGACCAAGGGAGCGCACCCCCCAACGCGCAGACGCAGCAGCGCGTGCAAGACATGTTGCACTCAGACGTGGGCGTCTCCACCCTGCTGAACCGCCTCAAGGCCAGCATTGCGAGCGCCAGAGTCAGTGGCCACGAAGCCGGGCTCTTGTGCATTCCGACGGCTAACACGCTGGGCAGGACTTTGCCAGCTTTCTCAAACGCCGGGGAGCTCTCGAGGAAGAGCACGCCGGCAGCCTCAAGAAACTAAGCCGTCTGACGCTCGACGGCGTGCGGAAGCCTGACACGCGGCACGAGAGCTACCAGACGCAGTTCGAGCAGGTCCTCCACGCAAACGAGCGCATCGCCGACAATGGCACCCAGTTCGGCCTTGCCCTACACGCCATGCACGAGAACCTGCTACAGCTGGCCAACAAGATGGATACAAGCCGCAAAACTTGGAAGCAGCAGGGGCTCTCGGCAGAGAACAAGGTTCAAGACGCCGAACGGCTGGCCGAGAAGGCCAAGGCCAAGTACGACCAGCTCGCCGAAGACCTTGACCGGGTCAAGACAGGCGACACAGGTGCGGGCAGGAAGTTTGGCTTGAAAGGGCCCAAGTCAGCCGCCCAGCACGAGGAGGACCTCCAGCGCAAGACCCAGGCGGCAGATCAGGACTATGCCAGCAAAGTCCAGACGGCACAGGTCTCCCGCAAAGAGCTCGTCGCGACTCTGCGGCCCCAGGCTGTCTCTGCGCTGCTGGATCTCATCAAGGAAACCGACGCTGCTCTGACTATGGAAATGCAGAAATACGGTAAGTCCACCTGCTGCCCGCGTCAGCTTCGACTGACGCTGTCATAGCCTCGTTCAACGAGAAACTTGTCGTCAACAATGGCCAGGTCGTCAGTCCACAGCCACTCAAGGGCGCGACTACTCAGGCCCCGTCCAGCATCAACCAGCTCATCTACCAGATCAACAATGAGCGCGACTTTGACGAATATATTTTGAGCCATGCCTCTAAAGCACCCATTACCAAATCAGAGCTACAGTACCTGAAGCATCCGACACAGGCGCAGACGCGGTCACATCCAACACCACCTGCTGCTGCGAGTAGTAACCGACGTACCTCCATGCAGCTGCAGAGTCAGCCGCCGCCCTCTTTCCCCATGCCGCAGCCAGATGCCAACCCTCTATCGCCTCAGGGCCCTTCCAGTCTCGAGCCCTCGTTTGGGGGTCCCGCACAGCTGCCACCTTCGTCGTTGCAATCGCAAACACAGCCTTCGCAAGCGCCGCAGTTCAGCAACTCGCCCTACTCACCCGTGGGGCCCACGCCTTACCCACAGTCAGACTATCCTCGTGGACCTGTCGGTCAGGCTACGGCACAGCAGACTAGCGGAATTCTTTACAACAACGCCCAACCCCCGGTCAATCCCGTCTTTGGCGTCACTCTGGAAGACCTGTTCCACCGAGATGGCTCACCCGTACCCATGGTAGTCTATCAGTGTATTCAGGCTGTGGATCTATACGGACTGGAAGTAGAGGGCATCTATCGGATTCCTGGAACCTCGTCGCATATCCAGCAAATGAAAGCTCTCTTTGACAGTGGTAGGTGATTATGAGAATTAGTCAATGCGAGCGACTAACGCTATACAGACGCTTCCCAAGTAGATTTCCGCAACCCAGAGTCGTTTCAGCACGACGTCAACAGTGTGGCTGGTTTGCTGAAACAATTCTTCCGCGAGCTTCCGGATCCACTGCTCACCCGCGAATTCTACGGCAAGTATATCGATGCTGCACGCATCGATGACGAGACCATGCGACGTGATTCCATGCACGCGCTAATCAATGCTTTGCCCGATCCGAATTATGCGACACTTCGTGCCCTTGTTTTGCATCTGCATCGTGTGCAGCAATCCTCCGAGGTTAACCGCATGAGCACCGCAAATCTGGGTATCTGTTGGGCGTAAGTCATCACTCGATCGAATCTATGTATCGACTAACCTCGTATAGGCCGTCCATAATGGGGCCTCATAAAGGCAACAATATGGCCGATGCCGGTCTGCAAGCCCGCGTAATCATTACCATTCTTGACAACGTGCTCCAGATATTTGACGAGGACTGAACACCTATCTTGCCTGGGCAGGGGCTCATGTCTGTCATGTTCTTGCAATCTCAAATCATGTTTCCTATTACACTCTAGGTGTTCAATGTCTAATCCAATGTGGGCTCCGCTTGTGCGGGACGGCTACCGCATTCGTGAACAGCACTTTGTGTATGATTATGGTAGAGTACGAGGAAAGCAGGGACTAAGCTACATCATAAGAAGGCATGGTCGCTGCTCGCTGCTTGCTAAGGGGTATGAATAGCCACACGCAGGGATGGAGCAGTCAGGAACAGCGAAGTTCGAGGTCGAGGTTTGGAAGTGAATTGATCCAAATGGTCTCATTCTAGTCTCGTGGTACATCTTGGGCCTCTACGATCATGTCAACAGATTAGATGCAAAGAATACGACCATGGATCTGGATGTTGGCCTGAAGACGCGATGAAAGTGTTCTGCGCGACATTGAAATGTAAACAGCGTTGCAACGCTTCCAGTAGAGCAATGTAGACGCGTGACGGAGGTTGGTGAGGTTTGCAGTGGGGCGCGCTTACCCCAGTGCCCCGGGCGGATACCTAGGCAGCGGGACGCTAGTGAGCTTGACAGGGAGAGCTGCAGTAGGCTGATTGAGGGGAAGCTGTGCTGTAGCCCGCCCAAACCGACACAAACACCACCACTACTCCACTTCATACACGCTGTCGGCGTTGGTGTGCAACTTGACATTACCCTCCAGCTCCGGTCCTGACAGTACCATCATGCTCACACGCCGTGTTTGTGCCAGTGTGCGCGGCATCCTCTCCCCGCCGTGTGCCACCGCCGTCCGCTCTCAGGCCTTCAGTGCTGGCGCTCCAACACAAAGCCCGGCTAGAGCTCCTACCCTCGCCGACATCACACCCGATAGTGCTGCCAGCTTCAACGAGAAGCAGAAGAGCTTCCGCGACGGTCTGGTAGCTGCTCAGAAGCGAAAGGAACAGGAAGAGAGTCCGTTGCACGTCGCCCAACCTGAATTACCCAAGAGCGCTAACGTGAGTAACTACAGAAGATGCCCGCGCCCGTGAGCAAGAAAACGGCAAGAAGAAGGGCGGTGCGCTATCATCTCTCATCTACGGCACGCCCGAGGGCCGCGAACTCGACAAGGACATTGAGCGCAGCTTTTCTCAGGTCTTAGCTCGCGGCAAATACGTCCACTCCATTGTATTCCACGAGGTACTGCAAGACAAGGTCGAAGAGTACACCGAGTTGGTTGGAAGCTGGTACCCAAAGATGGCGTCCATTCCCGAGAACAAGGTCCATCTTGTAGGTAGCTGGAGGACTGAAGTGGGAGATTGCAACACCTTTGGTAAGTCTGCAACTCGCTCCAACGCTCGCATCTCTCTCAACGATGCTGACTATGCACCAAAGTACATATCTGGGAGTACCAACGCTACGAGGGTTACCACGAATCGCTACACAACATCCAATCCCATCCAGAGTTCCCTGCGTTCGATGCCAAACTCAAGACCTTGATCAAATCCAAGCACAACTCCCTAATGCAAGAGTTCTCCTTCTGGCCTACGACACCCCCACGCCAGCTCGGTGGCTTGTTCGAATTGCGCTCGTACACACTACATCCTGGCAATTTGCTCGAGTGGGAGACACATTGGCGACGTGGCTTGAAGGCCAGGCGGGAAGTCATGGAGGGTGTGGGTGCTTGGTTCGTCCAGATCGGTGATCTGAACACAGTACACCATCTGTGGCAATTCGCCAACCTGGAGGAACGCAAGGTCCGTCGTGAACAGAGCTGGAGTGTGGAAGGCTGGGGCGAGACAGTGCACAAGACCGTGCCGCTCATCCAGACCATGAGGAGCAGGATCTTGATTCCTTGCTCCTGGAGCACTGTTGCATAAGCTTCGATTGCACCGATCAAGCCACTCATCTGGTGTACGACCAAGTAAATGGCACTGTGCGCTGCTTACAGTGAGAGGGTGTCATGTCTGCTGAATCATGTATATGAGCAAGATCGATCACAATGTTCCAGAATGAGGCAAGTATCGCTAGTGGAGTCATCAAGCCTCCAGCGTCTAAGTGGTGCGAAGTTGCGAGGGGCTGCATCAATCTCAGATACACATTCGTAGAATATGATGATTCATCTCATTCGTTGTGCACACCGAGGTAGCGATCGTACCTGACATACCGTTTCGACGCTAAGATGTTGCCAAAACCGGCGGGCGGACGGGTAGCTACGTCATAAGATTTTGCGCTTGGCACACCACCACATAGCAACAACAAGTGCCGCCGAAATCACTTTCGCTGCCAGAACCCCACAACAACTCGCCAACAGTTGCTAGTACTAAGCGAATAACACACCATGGTGTACATACGACAGGATAAGCTACCAAAGCTCAGGGAGTACAAGTACTCTGGCGTGGATCACAGCTTGCTTTCACAATATGTCCTCAAGCCTTTCTACTCTCATGTGGTCATCAAATGCTTTCCTATGTGGATGGCGTGAGTATTTCCAAAATCTCATACAAAGCAATACTAACATGTCTTAGACCCAACCTTGTAAGTTTGGCATAAAAAAAAGATTTTATATGTCGAACCCCGCCGCAAGAGCTTCGTCCTTACTTACATGATGCTGTAGATAACACTCTCTGGGTTCGGGTTCATCATAGTCAACTTCCTCACCTTACTCTGGTATACACCGACCCTTGATCAAGATTGTCCGCCTTGGGTGTACGCCAGCTGGGCCATTGGACTGTTCCTCTACCAAACATTTGATGCTGTGGATGGGAGTCAGGCCCGCAGGACTCGCCAGAGCGGTCCTCTAGGCGAGCTGTTCGATCATGGAGTCGATGCGATCAATACGACACTGGAAGTATTGTTGTTCTCTGCGACAATGAATCTTGGCCAAGGCTGGAAGACAGTCCTCACGCTCTTTGCATGTAAGCCAGCACCTTGACATTACTTGCTTTGCATCTTATCTTGCTAACTACTGCAGCATCTCTGACATTTTACGTGCAGACCTGGGATGAGTATCATACCCATACACTGACTCTTGGTGTTATCTCTGGGCCAGTCGAGGGTATCATAACTTTGTGCATAGTGTATGCCTCAACGGCCTACCTTGGTGGAGGTAGCTTCTGGCAACGCTCCATGATCCAAAGTCTCGGAGTGAAAGAGCAAGGATTCATTCCAGAAGTGCTGTACAATTTGGCATGGAACGAATGGTATATGGTCTATGGAGGAGTTGTGCTCGTGTTTAACACTGTTTCGAGGTATGAACACATGCCATTGTACGAGACAGTAGGCTGACAATGACACAGCGCGCAAAATGTAATGAAGGCGCGTCGTGCCCGTGGTCAAAAGGCGCGAGTCGCTCTCCTGGGTCTTCTTACCTTCGGGGCGGCTTGGGTCCTCATCACGGCGTACTTGTACCTGCAACCTATGATCTTGCATCACCATCTGGTTCCGTTCATCTTCTACGCTGGTCTCATCAACGCGTACTCGGTGGGTCGCATGATCATCTCTCACCTTACGAAATCCCGATTTCCTCGAGGCAACGTACTGATGTACCCTCTCATCTACGGAGTGATCGATTCGCTCGGGCCATGGCTACAGGAGCACATTGGTGTCGGCTGGCCAAGTGCCTTGGGCAACGATGTTTATCAGGTTGCCTTTGTGTTCATGTGTCTAGGTCTTGCTGTCGGTGTGCATGGAAGCTTCATCGTGGATGTTATTTGGACGATCTGCGATTATCTGGACATCTGGTGTCTCACGATCAAGTACCCCTACCAGCCGGTAAAAGAAAACATCGAACGGAAGGGACAATGACGATCAAGCTACTGGGTCTCGACCATAAAGGGAGATGGAAAGGGTTGATGGGATTAATCCCACTATAAATTCCTTTGTTTGGGGATCTTTGCGTACGCCCGCAGGAACTCATCATCATATCTAGATGTTAGAGCTGTTGGCTGAGTAGCTGTACGAGGAGCACGACATCACGTAACTATAGTGCAGTGAAATACACCACACATTATCAACCTCAACTTCAGATACTCAAATATGTACCTTCCGCATTTCAAGGTTCCTGAGATTGATTGTGCCGGCCCGCATACATGTGTGGTGCCAGCGTGAGCCACGCTAGACCGATGTAGGTCACCCCCGAGCGCGTCTCCGCAATCACTCATCAACCGGAGCCAGGACTCTACAACCTCCAACGCAAACATGTCAACCGTGGGGGTGAATTTGGCTGTTACTAAAGACGGTGAGAGCTACAACAAACTACAACGGCCCGATGGTTACCTTATGTCGACGCAGCCGCCCTCCATATCCTCCTCGACAGCGTCCCCAACTGCATACGGCAGCAAAAGAAAGTGCGCGCAAGAAGAGGCCGTTGGTGTTAAGCGCGCGAGGATCGCGCACATCACAGCGCACCCAAAAAACCGGCCGCGCGCTGTAGATTCGTACCAGGAGTATGGGACACGGACGGTGCTACCAGGACTCGACGGTGAAGAGCAGTCATCCGACGAGTCTACAAGCGAAGCGTTGGCCTACCTTCACGGTGTCCGGTGAGTGCTTACTTCATCTTTTGCACCCCCTCACGTTAGAGCATTATCAAGTCCATCGCTTATACATGAGGCCTAGGTCTGAAGCATCGGCGATTCCCACTCTACTCGTAGCCCCAAACAATCTCAACGCTGGCAAACTCGACTCAGACCATGACGAATCGCAATACAAAAGCCCGATGGATACTCAACGCGTCATATACAGGGAAGGAACCTGGATCGCCGTGGATTGGGAGTACAACGCTACCAAGTGGGAAACAGACTCGTTCGCCCTTGATCCACAGGAAGCTTGCACCAATGCTCTCCTCCAGCGCTTTCGAAACCTTCGCAAGAAACTCGCCGAAATGCGGAGGTATGGACGACTACCAGACACAGCAGCGAGCCGCGCAAAAGTAGAGAAGTTTGGAAAGCAGAAATGGTCGGAAACTATAGAGAAGGACTTACCCATTCTCCAAGAAATCATGCACATTGACGAGTCGACGCTGTATATGGCTCTACAAGGCTGCACGTTAGCCTTGGGTCGATCAGCTAAGATATCCCGGGAGAAGAGCAGCTGGATATGGACCTTGTTGGCCCTAGTTGGAGATTTCGGTACTTTGGATCATGAGCGTGTGAGCAGGATCCGAGACTTGGGGCTCAGCGCAGGCCGGCTAGTGGGCCGACTCTACGCAGACAACAGAACATTGACGTGTGATGCACAAGAGGGCGAGTGCACTAGTCCCGAGGTCCCAGAGACCGATCCTGGAGAACAGACACATGGAGCTCACGACACGAGACATCTTGCGCCGAAAGTCACACAAACTCTGCGCGATGTTTCGAATGAGAAAGACAATGGATTAGACACGACGTCCTTCAGAAATGACGATGCCGTGCTCAGCCAAAACACAGTCATTGAAGAGACGGATGATTCTGACGCAGAGATGATCATGTCTGAGGATGAAGTTGAATCAGAAAGCATTCCGGAAGATGGAGGTCTTGAGGAAGCTCGAGCGCGTCTTCTTGCGCAACTCGGAGACCGCTTGGTACATTCACAAGTGCCTCTGCCTCATATGCCCCCAATGCAAGTCCATCATCACCTTTCAAGGGTCGAGGCTGAGAGGCAGCGACAAGAAATACGCCGAGGAGAGCTGCAGCAAACTGCGAGTGCCACCAAATTGGCGCCAGTTTTCGAGCCGACGCAGGCCAAACCGCAGTCCATTACCCCATTGTCCGAGAGTGACTGGAACACGAAGGCAGCCATCGACATGATTCTGACAGTTGTAGCCGAGTGCTATGGACAAAGAGATCTGCTGAAATTTCGACTGCTCTGGTAGTTGCCCACAGCGCGATGACTAGAAACCCATGCATCAATTTATTCGTTGTAATCCTGTGACTACATTTTGGCTACCGCCCGCTGTGACGTCGGTGTGAAGATGCACGGGCCAAGTCGCGGAGTAGAACGATTCTTTGCACATGCGCGCTTGCTCTTGGGCGATTGAGTCACTTTCCAGGTCCATGCAGCGCATTTCACCCCACTTTGTCTGCCCCGCGCTCTTCCAAGACGCCCTCCGATATACCTTCGCATACCGTAAAGTCAGCCGAACATCTATCCGAACCTACATTCTTGCACCCCGCCGCCGCTTCTCTACGCAAACTTCGCCCTTGGGCTTCGACGACGACATGGGCAAAGAAGACAAGAACAAATCGTTCAACCTGAAGGTGCCAAAGGGCACACGCGACTGTACATTTTGCCCACATTGCGCCCAAACGACTCGCTAACTATGTCAGGGACTGGCGAGGATGCCGCACTTCGCGACAACCTGTTCCAAACAGTAACGGAAGTTTTCAAGCGCCACGGCGCTACGACACTCGACACGCCCGTCTTCGAACTCAAAGAGATCCTCAGCGGTAAATATGGAGAAGACTCAAAGTTGATATACGATCTGCAGGATCAAGGCGGCGAGCTCTGCTCACTGCGCTACGATCTCACCGTCCCACTTGCACGATGGCTCGCCATGAACCCTAGCGTCCAGAGTTTCAAGAGATACCAAATCGCTAAGGTGTACCGCCGCGACCAACCAGCCATGACCAAGGGTCGCATGCGAGAGTTTTACCAATGCGACTTCGATATCGCGGGTTCCTACGACGCCATGATTCCAGATGCCGAGGTACTCAAGATTGCGACCGACGTCTTCGATGCGCTCAAGTGGGACTCGTACACGATCAAGATAAATCACAGGAAGATTCTAGACGGCATGTTCAAGGCTGCTGGCGTCAAGGCAGAACTGATAAGGCCGATCAGCTCTGCTGTGGACAAACTAGACAAGGTGAGCTGAACATCTCCATGTCTCTGCCAATTACTAACATGCTGCAGCTACCATGGTCAGAGGTCAAGCAAGAAATGGAGACCAAGGGACTGCCAGCAGACATCGCGGATAAGATTGGTGAATGGGTGCAGCGCAAAGGCGGCGACGACATCATCGACTATCTCAAGACAAACGAGACCCTTTCTCAATCGGAAGATGTCAGCCAGGGTGTTCGGGAGATGGAACAGCTCTTCTCATACCTCGATGCTTTTGGTGCCCGCAAGAGGATCTCTTTCGACCTCTCACTCGCCAGAGGTCTAGACTACTACACTGGGCTCATCTACGAGGTAATTACAGAAGGCTCAGCACCGCGCGTAAAAGGTCAGCAGCAAGAAATCGGCGTAGGAAGTGTCGCCGCCGGTGGTCGTTACGACGGGCTCGTGGGCATGTTCAGTGGCAAGCCTATTCCCTGCGTTGGCATATCTTTCGGCATCGACCGAATCATTAGCATCATGAAAGCCCGCGGCCAGTCGACACAGCGTGCCAAAGATGTCGATGCCTTCGTCGCAGCCTTTGGTGGTAAAGGCTTCACCGGCCTGTTGACAGAACGTATGCAAGTCGCTCAAGAGCTATGGGCTGCAGGCATCAAGGCTGAGTTCTCGTACAAACTGAAGCCGAAACTTCCTCAGCAATTCAAACAAGCTGAGGTGGCTGGTGTCCCGCTCCTCGTCATCCTTGGTGAGGATGAGCTCAAAGACGGCAAGGTCAAGATTAAGGTCCTGGGAATCAAAGACGACAACGACCCCGAGAAAGACGGTGTACTGGTGAACAGGACTGATATGATTGCCGAGATTCGGAAGCGACTACCAAGCGCAGCTTGATTGCAGTTGGCGGGCGGACTTCCAGACTGACAGTGCACTTATAGATACCCATAGACTACATTCTACAAGCTCCCCTACCCGGGGTTCACAGTGCCATTCGCAAGGACTAAATTTGGAGAGAGGCTAGAAGAACAAAAGCATGTATACCTCGACCTAGGACGGACACGACGTTGATCTTTCCAGTCGGATGAATAGCGGTTTCCCTAGCATTACTTGAGTCGGACGTGTATGTATACAAAAAGTCTACCGGAAATCACCATGGTGCTTGAGGGGTTTCTTATCATTCAAGTCCGCATTGATATTGCTGTCGCGTTGTTAGGCAGACCAGAACTGTGCGGCACCAATCTGTGTGAAGACATTGTAGAGAACTTGTTTGATCTGCGCACTAGGTCTTATGTACAGACGCATAACTGAAGGAAAAATCGCGCACTCTGCTGCCATGAGGTTTTGATTGGAAATTGGGTAGTTGATGTCAGTTTGCGTGTCTAGTAGCCGTCCTTGCCCCACTTGTTGTATGTGTCATGGAGTTCCTACGCTCGTCAATACAGTCTGATTGCTGGTAATCAAGGGCGTCAGCTTACCTTGGGGAGAGTGACGTTGGGAATGACGACCACGTTAAGCGCAGAAGGCGCATCCTTCTTGACGCTGGTGTCACCTCCGGGGTGGTACTGGTATGGGCCTACACCACCATCCTGCTTCCAAGGCTCACTGCCTGCGGCCTTGGCGACGGCTCGTTCCGAAGAGGCACTGGTAGGAGAGCGGGCTTGCAATTGTCAGCATGTGAAGACGGGCGCACGAGGCAGAATCAATGTATCCGGGAACATACAGAAGTGCCATCCTGCCAGACCGAAAACACCGCTCATGATAGCGAACAGAACCTGTAGACGAATCAGCTATGCGCCCTGTATTGTCCAATTGACGTGTCGCAGCGTACATAGAGCTCAGGGTCGCGCTTCGCTCCGGTCTTGAGGGCGTCCTTGCCGGCCTGTCTCTCGCCCTCAGCGGCGGCGCTGGCCCATCGTCGAAGAGCAGGCGTAGGACGGACACGTGGGGCGGCGCGGAAGGCGGAGCGGGCAATGATGGAGGACATGATGGGGGGTGAGTGGCGTGGACGGGATGCGAGCTATGGGATGCGTGCAGCGCGGAGCAGTGGTTCGATGTTGAATCTCGCGGACGCCAAGCTTGGCGGCTGCGTCACAGCGACGGCCATGCCGGAAACAGTCAGGCGGACCTTGCAGTGCGCCGGGCAACGTCGAAGGGTCGAGCATCAACTTTATGCGCCCCTTTCAGCGCAATCACACGTCTTGTCCATCGTTCCATTAGCCTTTCGGCGCCGCAGCCCTTCCATTCACTCACTTCCAGTCGCTCCTTCCCCTGCCGGTCGCCATCCTCGCCCATCCGCGCTCCCCGTATTCGTCGCGACCACGCGCTGCACAAGCCGTGACTTCCCTCCAGCCACACCCTCAGCTCTTTGATGTCATGCTGCGTGCCGAGAGTGTAATCGCGCCCGCAACCACATCACCATGGCCATGACGCCGTCCGAACAGAAGCGCAGCTCGACTGGCAGTCGCGTGTTGGGCATGACGGGCCCAGCAGGCGAGCCCGGCCTGCCACCCTCGCGACCGTCGTCGATTGCGACTGCCAATTCGGGCAGCCAGAACAGATGGTCCCAGGCCAGCCCTGCACGACGAGGAGGCGGCATGAGCGTCGCCGGCAGTCTAGGACACAGCCGCCCAACGACGTCTGCCAGTAGAACCCATGTTCCGCTGGCAGCCCACGGCTTCTTTCGCCCCATGAGCTCGCAGCGTCTTCAACAACAACGCAACCAGCGCCCCAATTCCCTCCTCGGCCACGGCTCGCTCTATTCCGACGCTACACACGAAACGGGCAGCAATCCGTACCGCCAGAGTACAGGCTCTACGCAAACAATTCGGCACGGCGCCCCAACCCTGGGCCTCCATCACGAGCTGGATCCGCAGCCTCCGCCGTCGCGCGGCACCGACATCACCGATAGAGACATGCCCGACCGCACCACAGCCAACACCACGCCCACGGGCGCAGAAACAGTGCGCAGTCGAGGCGAGAGCATCACTCCCCTGCAGCGACCCAGGCCTCAGCACCTGGATCTCTCTAATGTTCATGGCCACGATTCCGGCAAGCTCCCAACGCCCAGCAAATCGCCCCGCTCTTTCGGTTCCAGCTTCATGTTGTCCAGTCGCGACGGACGCTCAGCCCAAATACGACCCCATCAAGGACACGAGAAACTCACCTCTGCCGAGTCGTCACCCAGAATAGCCCGCAAAGAAGCTACTAAGGAGGCAGTCAAGCGGGAGCTCGGCAGGAACTACCAGTACTTCTCTGGCAATACCGCGTTTTGCTGGGGCGGTAGATTGCAAAATACCCGCGACCGTCCAGTCAACGTCGCCACGGCAATCCTCATCATCTTACCTGCTGGCCTTTTTTTCGGCTTCTCGTTCGTGGACTCCCCTCCACTGCTATTGTTCCTCACGCTAACTATTACTATAGGGCCCCTTGGCTATGGACCAACGTTTCTCCATCGATACCCATCCTCTTTGCATATTTGCTTCTCGTCTCCATCTCCTCTTTCCTTCATGCTTCAGCTTCAGATCCGGGCGTATGTCATGCACCTCCTTTGTCATGAACACTACTAACGCCGTATAGATACTTCCCCGAAATCTACATCCATTCCCCCCTCCTAATCCTAATGACGATCCCCTCAGTCTCGGTCCGCCCACCACTGAGTGGACCATGGTGGTCTCCGCAACCGGTACGAATGCAGCTATGGAGGTGCCGACGAAATATTGCAAGAGTTGCAACATCTGGCGACCTCCACGTGCTCACCATTGCCGTGTATGTGACAATTGCATCGAGACGCAAGATCACCATTGCGTCTGGCTCAACAATTGCGTGGGACGCCGCAACTACCGTTACTTCTTTGTCTTCGTGTGCGCCACCACGTTGCTAGGTCTTTTCCTCCTGGGCGCTAGTCTGGCACAAATACTAGTCTGGCGGGCGCAAACTGGAGCATCCTTTGGCGAGGCCATCGATCGATGGCGTGTACCCTTTGCCATGTGTATATACGGACTCCTCGGGTGGTCATATCCCTTCAGTCTTGGCATATACCATCTGTTCCTGGTTGGTAGGGGCGAAACGACGCGTGAATATTTGAACTCACACAAGTTCCTCAAAAAGGATCGGCATAGGCCCTTCACGCAGGGCTCCGCGTTGAAAAACTGGGTTGCTGTATTACAGCGACCACGCCCACCGACCTATCTCCATTTCAAGAGAAAGTACGAGGAGGGCGACCAAAGGTTTGGCTCGCGCAAAGACAAACGGACTGCGCCTCTAGTGCCAGAGCAACAGGGCGGCGGGGTGGAGATGCAGGATGTTAGTGGGTCTGGGGCATTCCAGGGCCCAGCCAGTAGGTCAGGACGTGACGCTGCAGACGCGACTGTGGCATGAGACGCTGTTTCTGATCAGCGTGATCATGTGGTTAGCCCATCTTAAGTAATAGCTTCTTCACAATACACGAGTGCAGGCACGGCACCATGTGACCGTTTGCATGCACTGATGAGTGACTTCCTTGATTATGTGTACATTCCATGATAACATTGCAGCGGGCTCGGTTTCGAAGACCCGGCCCGTACGTGCCGGTAATAAGACGGAATGCGAGGAGTGGTGGTGCTGGTAACATTGGATATACAGGGCACGACGGCCTAATCGGCTGACTGACTAGCTGCATGTGTTTACCTCCCCAAATCGTCCATCCGTCCATCTATCTCCCAACCCTGGCTCGATGCGCCTCCCAATGCATGCCCACACACTCTCCTAAACCGGACCGACAATTGTACACGTTTCTTCGCTTGCTCTTTGCCTATCGCGCGCAGACTTTGGCAGTGTTGCTTCGTGAGCGCCGTTGACCCGCCCAAAGCGTCCACCTCCTTCGCGCGTCAGTGCCTCACCCCTCAAGACCACGACCACGACGCGTGCTCCTGCCTTGCCCGTCCGCTGTCATGGCCGAGCGCGATCTATCCCCAACTTCAACATCCTCTACGCTCTCGAACATCACGGTGCGAACTGACAAGCAGGGCGATGCTCGCGCCACGTCCAGCGCGTCGCCTTCCATCTCGACGCCACCTACCAGCCTCGGCGACGAAGCCAGCGTCATGTCCGAGATGACGAAGATCGAACAAGCTGTCGAAGTGTACGAGGAGGCTCCGGGCCTCCAAATGCTCGGCGAGACCTCAGCGTCCGCGCAAACCACCACGCCCGACGCCGTCAACAACGAGGCCCGCCGCCCTGCTAGGAGCTCGCGCAAGTCCGTCACCACGTACAACGTGCAGATTCTCGCCGGAACTGCGATTCATACGCCGACCAAATACCTTGAGAAGCACCACAAGAATGTCGTGCACGGCTCTCTTGAGGAGCTCGCGAGGAAGGAGAAAGCCACACCCATGCGAAAGAAGATGCTGAAGCGGAAGTCTGACATGACTGATGCCAGCGATCAGGTCGAGGATCAGCTGGCTGCCGAAGCCGCCCAGGCAGCACGACGTCGCACCTCCTCTCGCGTGACGGACCTTCGCAAGGAGGTCCTCCGCAAAAGCGGTGTCGGCGATACCGTCGCAAGCATGTACTCAGGGGGAAAGGCTTTCGTTAAAAGCACTTTACGGCGCAGTACTTCGGAGCCATCCTTCAAATCCGGCCAATCAGCTTCCCCCGCGGCTTCTCTCAAGCGGTCTCGCGATGCCCTTGAGGATGGAGACGCAGATAGCCAAGACCAGGAAGGAAAGATCTTCTCGCAGCCCAAGTCGAAAGTCTGGCTTAAGCAAGGTTTGTATGTTGGCCAGGATCGCGACTTTGATCCTCGTCTCTCCGAAAGCCAGAACCGCGCAAAGAAGAGGGCCAAGAAACCATGGCAGGCCACAATCTTGCCCCTCCCGATTTTTGCCTGCGAACGTCTATTGAACGAGGACCCCAAACATGTATTCCGGGATTTCAAATTGCCATTCGATACTTACAGCCCTCTACCCAGAAAGGTTAAGGTCGACGGCTGGGTCAAACTCAACAAAAGTAAGCTTACTATGATCCCACTCAGTCAACAATGCTAACGACTTGCAGACAGGTTCATCGGCGACGCATCTGCGCTGTGGAAACGCGACAAGCAAGACTCCTCCCAATGCTATTGCGATGAAGAAGATGGCTGTGGAGAGTCCTGTCACAATCGGATCATGGCGTATGAATGTGACAAAACCAACTGTCCACTGCCTCCGGAACTATGTAACAATCGGCCATTCGCAGAGCTCAAGAAGCGTGCAAAAGGCAACCGTTATGACTATGGTGTGGAAGTTCTCGATACAAAAGACCGAGGGTTCGGTGTTCGTGCTATGCGAACGTTCGAGCCACACCAGATCATCGTAGAATATGCTGGAGAGATCATTACCCAGTCTGAATGCGAGCGACGCATGAAACAGGTCTACAAGAAAGACAAGGTACGTTGTCAAGGTCTTGCCATACAGATTTCTGCTAATCCTCTGCAGTGCTATTATCTCATGAGCTTCGACAACAAAATGATCATTGATGCGACTCGTGGGACTATTGCTCGATTCGTTAATCACTCGTGTGAACCCAACTGCGAGATGATCAAGTGGACTGTGGGTGGAGAGCCTCGGATGGCGCTGTTCGCCGGTCCCCGCGGCATCATGACTGGCGATGAGCTGACCTACGATTACAATTTTGAGTAAGTCATGTCCCATAACATATATGTTGAACCGTTCTGACTTCGTTAGTCCGTTTTCCCAAAAGAACATTCAGGAATGCCGCTGTGGTACTGAATCATGCCGTGGGGTCCTCGGTCCCAAGCCAAAGAAACCCATTGAAGAGAAGTCAATAGCCTCAGTGCTCATCACAGGCACGAAACGCAAGCTGCAGGATTTGCTCGGTCCTCGAAGGCATGGTTCTGAAAGCACCCAAAGCTCCCCCAAGAAGCGCAGGATGCTTGCAGGCAACTCAGCTAGCGCCAAGGCGAAAAATGCTGTCGCTCGATTGGAGTCTGCTCGTGAGCGAGTCGAGAGGGAAGCAGATGCGCTGTCGCGTCAGAATGCATCCCGCGAAAACCGCGCTTTAAAGCGATCAAGTTCCGGAACTCTTGATAAACGTACGAGATCAGCTAATCTCCGGACGGCAAAGCCATTTACCGTCAAATCTACCCGACACACAACCGTCAGCTTTCAAAGGAAGGTTACTAGGCCTGGTGCACTGAAGAAGGTCAAGAAGCCTACTCGACCACTGTCAAGCAGAAAGGCACTTCGCTCCCAACGACCGAGCACGCCAAATCGAGAAACGAGCACTGAGGTACTGGATTCAGAGGATAATGCTTCACCAAACATAACCCCTGCATCTTTACGCAGCGCTTCTAAGAAATCGCCTTACACCAGCCCTGTCTCACGAGAGCCTCTTGCAAAGGGCGCCACGACTGCAGTGAAAGACCATGTTTCACACAAACCTTCGGTACGGAGCCTACGAGGAAGGTGATGAACGTGTCATTAAACTCTGTTGTATCGTAGCTTTGTTTCAACCCACATCATGCGGCAGATTTTCGCGAAGGGCTATCTGACTTGAACAGGCTTGTTGGGCTGTTTCCCAGTGACTTCAGATGTGTATGTACAGGTAGTCCTCTCCGGTTTTTAACGTGAACAATAGAACGATGGTTCCATGCGAATAGTAACTATTGCGGCGTGATGTGTCAATGCTTTGTTCACATTTTCGCCGCTACCCAGTGGTCGTGTTGTAAAGCTCCTCCTGTTGGTAATATCTAAATCAGTGGAGAGATGTCCATATCTGTGATACACAAACGCCTCTCCATCGCCATGTCGGTGAGATTATATCATACCGTTCGAAAGCAAACACAGCGGTAAAGATCACGCTGACACATTGAGACACGCAGTTGTCGCAAGTGCTTACAGATAGAAGATGTATAAGGCGAACGAGTATGTACATATCATTAAGCTCCCTCTGAACGATCGCTGCCCTCAATACAAAGACCAAAGTCAGAAACCATCCCCCAAGAACTCAACCTGGCGTACGCATTAGATACTAGATACATAATTTATAAGGAAAGAAGATGCCACGCCGTAAGCAGAACAAGACTCCAATCCCATCGCCGCATATGTTGTTGTGGTCGATCGGCCATGTCGGAAGATTCTCGCATGTTTTTTTATCGGCATTATAGCAAGGCTTTGAGGCGAGTTGTATCCGCGTACTTGTCGATTGGCGTAAGTACTTAGACAAATCCTCTTGTTATCGTGTAAAAAGGGATGATCGAAGTGAAAGCGGTGATGAGCTGAAACGGCATCAATCTGTAGTCGTTGGGTGTGATGCAACTACAGGCAGTGTCTCTCTGTCGAGTCTCTGTCGAGAGAGAGGGAGGAAGAGAGGAGAGTGATCTATTGGACGGTACAGCCGCCACTGACGCCGCCAAGTTGGACGGTGCAGCCGTTGACGCCGCCTTTGGCATTGCGTTGGATGGTGCAGCCGCCTTTGGTGCCGCCTTTGGCAATGCGTTGGACGGTGCAGCCGCCTTTGACGCCACGATGAAGGGCCATGCTGACAGTTGAGTTGGCTTGGGTGGGTTGAGGTAATTGAAGGATATGTAGAGAGCTTGAAATTGTAGGTAGATAGTGTTCTGTTGGCTGGAAGAACAATAAATTTAGGGACCATGAGCACCGTTTTATACAACGGAAAAGAGTATATGGGAAAGGACGAAGCTTCCTTTGTGGCTGTTGTTGTCAAAAGGTCCAGAGCATGGTCCCGACAAGGGTAAGGCCCTCGATGTTAGCTTGCTATTGTTCTCGGACATGGTATGTCATACCACGTGACTTTGCTTACTATTGTTCCAAAGCCATTGCACCTGTAAAGAATGAGAACAAAGGAGATTCAAGCGGCAGAGAAAAGTCTCGACAAGGTTCTGTGCCGAATTCTAAGCAAGGGGTGATCTGAGTCGCCGACTATTGTGTCCAGTAGAGTGGGCCCGATTTACGACCTCAACAGCTAGTCGGTCGATCTAAACATCACATTGGTTGGTATGGCAATGTACATTTTCCTCAGTAGGAAAGTCCCTGCATGTTGCAAGTCATGTCAGTTGGGAAGGAGCAAGTGAGTTTCCACGTGGGAAATATTCACTGCTGAAGGTTCGCCCGTTGCCATGAATGAGCGAACACAGGCATACCGTCAAAAATGTTCTCTCGGTCAAGGAGCTAATGGGTATCTAAGGTCTTCAAAGAGAAGCAGCGTGATGAGGTGGCTAATAAACGTGATTTAGAGACTCAATGAGCTATGCAAAGGTACCGGTGTACGAGCACTCAAGGTCATATGTCTCCGGTGCTTCCGGACGGCAAGCGGAATCCTTACATATGCATGACTTCCGAATCGAGAAGATTGGCGGTAACATTGTCGATCGAGCGAATGGTAGAGTGATGGTTTGCTCCGAGTTGTATACGCTGCCATTCAGTAGACGTCAGCGTGCCTGCGCGCAGAGGAGTCGGCTATGAGGATCGGGCAAGCTGCCACTGAGTTCCGAACCAACTATTTGGTACTTGGTATCCAAATTATAGAATATATGCGAAGCTCAGGGCTCATGTGTAGTATCATGATGGTATTGAGATCGTTGTGACGCAACGGTGGGTAACGCGATGATGACTAATAATTTCCCGACGGGCATGCTGCTGCAGGGTAGGTAACCTTCCAAGACATCACATTATCACGAGCAATCCGCAGTCCACCAATGGCGATGTACGCGAGAAGGCTACTTGCTCGCTGCGCTTACGGCCTGCCTTTACGCCGCGCATTCCAGACGGCCGCTGCTCCCTCGGTCCGTGCCCCGGAGTTTGCTTTCGCTTTCGAGTAAGGCCTGCGCACCATCAGCTTCTCAACACAGCAGCTGACGGCTGTCAGTATCGATGGAGTGCTCCTAAGAAGTTCAGATCCGCTGCCGCGAGCTCAAAAGGCCCTCTCTTACCTGCAGTCACAGGGCATTCCCTTCATACTTCTTACCAATGGCGGCGGCAAACATGAATCCGACCGCGTGGCCGAGTTGAGCAGTAAACTGGACGTGTCTATCGATGCATCCATGTTCGTTCAAAGCCATACCCCCTTCGCAGACATGGACGACCTCAAGGACAAGACGGTCATGGTGGTGGGTGGTGTGGAGGATAATTGCAGGAAGGTCGCTGAGGCATACGGGTATGACGGAACGACATTACATGGGGCTGCAGCATTCTAACAGATTGCATAGTTTCAAGAATGTAGTTATACCTGGCGATATCATGGTTGCTCACCCGGATGTATGGCCATTCTCGCAGCAACTACTGTCCTACTACAAGACCTTTACTCGACCGCTACCCGTCCCTATCGACGTTGACTCGCCATCTAGATCGCTCCGCATCGATGCAGTCTTTGTATACAACGATCCTCGAGACTGGGGGTTGGACGCGCAGATCATCAAGGATGTCTTGTTATCAGAGCATGGCATCGTTGGAACTTTGTCACAGAAGAACGGCAATCCAGCTCTGGAGAATCGTGGCTACCAACAAGATGGACAGCCCCCACTATACTTCTCAAACCCAGACCTGCTATGGGCGGCAAAATATCACCTGCCACGTCTCGGTCAGGGCGGCTTTCGCGAAGCTTTCGAGGGTATCTGGGCTGCGATAACTGGCGGACAGACACAAGGTGTTAAGCTGCAGAAAGTCGTAATGGGCAAACCACACCGACCTACGTACAAGTTCGCTGAGAAGCGTCTGATAGCGCATCGGCATCATTTGATGCAAAACTATGGTAGTCCGCTGGGTCATCTGAAGCGCGTGTACATGGTCGGTGACAATCCCGCCAGTGACATTGCTGGCGGTAACAACTACCAGAGTCCGCATGGTACAGATTGGGCTAGTGTGTTAGTGGAAACAGGTGTCTACAAGAAGGGTACAACACCGTCGCCTGAGCCGCGCAAGGTCGTGAGCGATGTTTGGGACGCTGTAGCGTGGGCTGTCGCGCAGGAAAAGTGGGCATCTTCAGCAGATGCTCCGTGATATTGAATTATGTACATGTATTGCCATTGCAGATACGATGATGCTCTTGGAGTGTCTCATAATAAGACATCATTCCAACCTTCTGGGATACATCATCAGAACCGTGCGCATGAGTCGTCTGTTAATAGACTTCACACATAACCTACTGCTGCTCCAACCACTGCACAAACATCAAACCGCCGGACCCAAGGACCTCAGCCGTAGCCACCGGTTTGCTGTCTTCGATCCTTCCCGTTTCTAGATTTCGGCTATAGACAGCAACGTTCTTGCTAAATTGGTTCGCAATCGCAATCATGGATCCGTCCTTATTCATGTTGAAGTGGCGAGGGTAGTATCCGCCTGATTTGGCGAGTTGGACAAACGACAACCTTCCGTCCGCTGTCGGCTTGAATGTTGCAAGTGAGTCACTTGGAACCTGGGTGCTGTTCTTTGGGTCGGGATTGTCTACTTTGAACACCGTGCCGTTACGATTCGCCGCAACGAGGAACTTGTTGTCGGGTGACAATATCATCTCCGAGGCATATGACACTGGCGGGAGCGTAGTGTTGCCATATGTGCTGACCTCGTCGACCTCGGTGAATTCCAGGCCGCCACACTCAGGGTAGTCTACTTTGTAGCTGATGATCTTGTTGCTTTTCTCGTGGACGACAAAGAGGTATGTGGTCTTGGAATCGGGGCTTGTCCAGAAAACTGCATGCCGAGGACCGTATTCTGGCTTTGATTTGAGTGCCTCGTGTTCGGTGAGCTGGTGGCTTGCGGGATCGATACAGTATACGTGGACTAGATTGGCACCGAGACTAGGGAAGATCATGAATTGGCCTGTGGGGTCGAGGACAGCCTGGTGGATCTGTTCAGGCTTCTCGAAGGTGAAGTTCTGTAGGGATGAGAACTTGTTGCTTCCGTCGATGGTGAAGAGTGAGATTGCTGCCTGGGGGCCATACTATTTGGGTTGTCAGTACATGTTCATCAAGGATTAGAAAGAGAGGGTTGTACGCACATGGGCAAGGGCAAGCGCCGTTCCGTTGTTGTAGGATATCGAAGACACCGCTCCTCCCAAAACCGGGCTGCTCGAAATCTTGCTGAGGCTGCCATCAGCACCAACGCTCAACATCGTAAGGTTGGCACCAATTTCTACTTCGTCTAGACACACTATCCTTTCACGACCAAGGGAAGCATCGAGCCATGTGGGTAACTTCCCACACTCATAGCTCTCATGAGTAACCTTCATCGTTTGGCTAGTGTTTTCGTTTGTGCTAGGTGGTAGTTCGAGAGTCTGGATAGCGCCAGGAGAAGTGTCATTTCCATATGATGCGACGAGGAGCCGACCCGCGGCTACTTGTCCTATAGTCGCTAACGCGATGAGTAAAGTGTTCATTGCTGCTGATAATGAAGGTATGGAGTTGTGTAGTAATACAGAGGGACCAAGACTTGTGCGGTTGTAAGAAGAAGGGAGGGCGTTGTATCGTAGGGATTATATTTTGTATCAAAGATCTATGAAACTGTGAAATGCAAAGAGAGACAGAGTAAGGAATGTGAAATGGGTCCTTGTGAATAGATGCGGGGAATCACAACCTTTGTTCTCATCGCGTGTGTATATAGTGATCCGTGTCGCATGTTTCACATTAACCGCCATGGGTCCTGTCAATAGGGATTTAGGTTTTAGTAGGACCGACAGATCCTAGGCACCGAGTTCAGCTCTAAGGGGCGGGTGTTTCCGTAAACGCGTGTGTGAGGGTCTTGATTGGTGAGTGCGGGGTTGAGCGTGAGCTGTGTCTCGGTGTTACTCGGTGATAGCCCAAAACACCAGTCGCGCTAGTGCGTCATGTCGCCATCTCTGCGCGCACGCGCTTGTGTGATGACCTCTTCACGAGTCCAAATGCATGTACGCATGCTCACATGCAGCCACACTAATCATGTCTACTTCCTCTTCCAGTTATGCCAACTATCTCCCGAACGAACTGCTGCTTGAGATCTTGGCGTACTTTGCATCGTGGGGCGAGACCGAGAGGCAAACCGCGCTTGCACGCTTTTCCGCTGTCAATAGGTAATGTGTCGCATTGAGGATCCTGGTCACATGAGCTTACATCAGTAGACAGTGGTATGATGTATGTGAATGCCATGCTACGGGCCATCAAACGTATTGTGACTAATTTGGCTGTTCGATGCATAGATAGCAGTTCAACCACTATACGAATCACCATATCTATCAGGAAGTGCGTACGATCTCTTTGTACGAACGATATGTCCTTCTGTGCTAGCCCGCATCAAGGTAAGGATATTCCGAGTAGTTGGTGATACATGCTAACCTATCACAAGCCCACAGCATTGTCAAGTCTAGTAAAGTCGCTGGACTTATCCCACATCGTACATCAAGGCGCCAAATCGACAACAGCTAGATTGCTAGGCCGAACGAGATTATCTCTTGAAGTCTTCGTAGCACCTCAAGCTAGCTTTGCAATCAACTGCTGGGCTAGCCTGAGCAAATGCACCCGGCTACGCGTTCTCGACCTGAGCCTGTTGGTAAACCCCAGACACACGATCTTTGTTCGAATCGTAAACTGACATGCTCTTCTAAAACCAGGGTATCCGAATGCATCAGTTTCCAAAGCTTGAACCAAACGATACGGCAACTTGGGGATCTACGCGAGCTTTACTTACCTCGCTGTTCATCTAGATATGAACCCTCCGCCACACCCGGTGGTCCCAGTATTCGCTGGCCACCTAACCTGGAACACCTCGCTCTATCTGGATCGGTCTCTGGTCAATTCCTATGGGATATGCTACGACAACCGGCCAATTTCCCTCCGACTTTCTCTTCGCTGAGTATTCACCATAGTCCAGGTCTAGATCAGTACGTCAAGACTCTATTGCAACGAGTTCACCGTACGACTACCACTGGAGGATTGGATGCTAACATAAAGACCGCAGGCAAGGTATCAGACCCCTACTTGACAGCTTATCTGCATCGCTTACGGTCGTCGAACTCCGCGATCTACCAGCCGTCAAACAAGGCCGATTGAACAGTGTACTAGACTGGCTACCAAACCTCGTCTCTCTAACCATAGCACTAGACTACATCGACAGTCGATTCGGAAACATGCCACCAGATTTCTCACCAGCCCGATGGCAAGAAGCCAAGCCACTATACAGACTGACTCTCCTCGCTTGTGGACGGACGGGTGATCCCTCACGTAGTTTCACGATGACTGATCTCTTCACCTTAATAGACGAACGGTATCTAGGCCGTTTGCGCTATCTAAACATAGGACATAGCACGGAGTGGCAAATTGAGGATGAAGAGCTGGGCGCACTCGAGTCCAGTGTATATGAGCAGGACAAGGAGAGTTGGTTGGGCCGCAGATGGCACTACGAAGACGTGGATTTCACGGATACGAGGGGTTTGGAATACGAGCAATGGATCACAGACATGGCGATTGGGAGGGAAATGAGACCTCGGTTTCGGCTTTTGAGGAATCGATAGTTGAACTGCTTGATGATACTCAGCACTTGCTCACGTTCTCATTCTAATGTATAGTTCAACGCATTACTCATTGAGCTGATAATTGAATATAAGTTAGCACTCCTAGCCACATGTGCTACTCAGAAAAGAAAACCCCGAAGACAGTGTATCGCGAAGCCTAAAGTATACCCAAACCATCTAAGACTGACAATAATGAAAAGGATGTAACACTCAGAAATACATTTTGGTTCGATCGCCTCCTTGTGTCCCCAGATGCTCTTCCTAGTCGTCACCCAAGATAATCCTTCTTCTCCTCCAGCCACTCAACGGCCTGACGCTCTCCCTCTCCACCTCTCTCCCGCCAACCCTATGATAGCTTCTCCACTTCTCCTGCTCGGTCTCCTTCTCCTTCTCCTCGAAAGGAGAGTCGCCCCAGAAGCTATCTCGTCGTGTACGGGTCCTTTCCCGTGAGGTAGACCGCTCACGAGACTCCCAACGCTCATCCACCCACCACTTCTCACTACGATGGAAAGGATCGTATGAGGGTGAGAGAAGCGAGAAAGTATGGTGATGGTGCGACGAGTGTGGACGGCTGAACTTAGCGTTGATGCTGAGGCGGAAAGCTTGGTCGTCTGGCTCGGAAGAAGCGGCGCGGTCTGAGGAGTATTCGTACGTACGTCGTGTGTCGTAGCTACGGCGTCTGTTCTCGTCTTCCGTATCGTTTTGGGGGCGCCGAGTGTCAGTCCAGACGTTGAAGCGCTCGAGTTGAGAGGGCTGATCCCGTACTGTTAGGGAGCGGGATGACCTGACTGGCTTATGGTTGGACGAGTAGGGGTAGTCGTCATGGCCATCTTCGTCATCGAGATCTGAGAGTGTGATGCTCCGACGGTGTTTGCTGGAGTCGTGATGAACGAGAGGAAGTGAGTAGTAAGGTTCGTACTCTGGAGTGCGCTCGCGGGTGCGAGTACGCGTTAGGTGCAGGTAAGACATGGTCGGCTGCCTGGTGCGGCTGATTAGTCAGACCTTGAGATGATGACTGTGATTTGGTAGGTATAGAATGATTGTAATGACAATGCTCAGGAGAAAGTTATGCGTTTTGCAGTGTCAATGGATTGCAAGCACTTATATTCGTACAGGTGAGGACCGGAGAAGCAAGCCCACTGTCCTCCAGAACCCTCTTATATTATCCGACGAAATGTTTCAACTGCCTAGACGACTTAGAAATCACCTTGTTTGGCTAGCATGAGCTCCATGAATTTCAACGTGCACCGCCTCTTTTTCTGCGGCTCGATTGTGGCTTGTGCAGATCGCTCCAGGATTTGATTGGCTGCGCCCACTGTCGGCGTGCTCCGCGTGAACGATTATTTACCGATGAGTTCCTGACCGCCAGAACATTGAGGCTTGAATGGAGTCTTCAGAGTTGCCTAAGTATATGATACTAGGGGCCCCTGCAGTGTGTATCGTGGAAGGGTCATGGCAGCTGAATGTGCGGTCGCCACTACGAGGCTGTGACAATGTGGAGGTGTGGGGGCCGAAAACACGACGGTGAACGTTGGGTTTGTGTAATCAAGGTGCGAAAACGTAGCGGGTAATCTCCGATGTTGAGCTGGATGCCTACAGCAAAACTCCATGTTGTCCCGATGTCTATGCTGATGTCTCTGGTTATTCGCTCTCGTGGGTACCTCGCCGGTTGGAGCGTACGACGCTCAAAGGGTCATGCGCTTTGGATGAATCATTGTTTGGGTCAGGGGCTCCTTTTCCAGCCTTCTCGTTAGTAAGGTTTGGTCAAGAACAGCGAGTATTGGTATGACGATGTCGCAATTGAGAGATGGGCAGTGAAGAGCATGACCAAAATTATGATCCATGTAGGCGATGTCCTTCGTCGCAGTGGCAGTGACTCATCGGTTGCGCACTTGCACGTCGTAGTCATTCGGATATTGATGTCTCCTAATCCAGGAGGCCTGCAATAAAGACTGACCAGGCGGTTGACGCACACTGATTGAAGAGCATGGAGAACCTTCCCCATGTGACCCTGACGACTAAGTGTGCTGCCTGGGAGGTGCCATTGTTGGCCAGCTACACAGATAACGTCACCCAAAACCTTCACCCTGTTTCTCACTGATCTTCGCTGCCTTCTCGTTCGGCATATCGCCTCGTCGACTGCCTACGCAACTCTTGTACCTTTCTCTCTCCAGCTATTCCTGTTGCTTCTCTTAGCGCTCCTCACGAAATAGCCTTGTCTGCAGGTTCAGATTTTAGCGTAGTAGTTAAATTAATTAGATTGATTCAATGTAGACAGTACCGTGGCTCATAAACGTCAGATTAGAAGCCATGCGGTTGGCCTTACATAGGTATACAAGATAAAAACCGAACAGGTCTACAGACTACATAAAGATAGAAACTTGCAAAGCAGGTTACTTAGCGTTAATGTAGGCTCTAGGGTGTTAGACTTTCATTAGGTTAGTAAAGGCGTAAACGTACTGACAGCACGATCGGGACTGGGCTGTTAGTTGCTACGTCTGCGTGTGTAAAGAGACGGAGGCAGCGCTTGAGTATGCATGCGCTATACCAGCCTGGTTACAGGATCACACAGGGCACGAGATACGAAATCAATCGTGATTCATGGGTCGCAATCAACAATTAGAGGTCTGTCGTGGAGGTATACAATACGGTACCTAGGTATGTTCGAGAATGTGTGGGTGTGAGCCATTGCGTATGCTTCTAGAGCGTAGTGTATCCGAGCGTGCTGAAAAAAGAATGGACGTCTTCGCGTTCCCTTGAATTCGATCCTTCTCGTTGGTGGTATAATTGCATCTAGACGCTTGTGCATTGGAGAGGCGGAGGGACTCAGATGCCGGTCAGCTGCAACGCGTTCTTTGTACCGCCACTGCCGCGATAGTGCATGCACAACACCTGGAAGCGTCGCCATATAAGGCAGGTATAGGTCCTAGTGCTGATGTGAATCTTGGAGGATCGCTGAACCGTCGCTGTCGTTGGTCGTAAAGTTGCAGCGTGGTGCATGAGACTTCGGAGATTGTGACAACGCCCGGCAGCGCTTGGCGTGCTCGTCGACGTTCGGCTAGCCACGATGAGGCTTGCCCTGCGGCACAGCGCGCGAACTTACTCACTTCGAGAACATGGCGGGACGTAAGGGGCCTGAGTGTCTGAGGGCGCTGGAGGCTCTCGCTGTCTCCTTATCAATGCCAGATTGACGGCATGAGGGAGCGCCGCACCGACATGTACCTTCCGCCAGAGCTCTTGACGCTATTATTTCTAGCGAACGCCGCAGCAGCTGTCCCTCGTGCGCAACCAACATCGTACCAACTTGAGGGCATACACGCTAATTGCAAACAGAGACCTCTTTCTTACCCAACGTCACCGAGATTGCTCCCACCCAACAGTCGACAGTATCGATCGCGGCGCAGATAACAGAACCGTCCGATGCCACTGCTACCGAGAGTTCTGTAGATCGGGTCGACGTGAAGGTCGAAGTGTGTACTCTCGACGCCAGCAGCTGTTGTTCTATCGATCCGGGTAGTTGTGGTGGCTTGCAATGGATTATTCTTCCGTCTGCCACAGGTTGGGGACTGACGGGTCCAGCTACCGATCGCCTCGTGACACTTACTCCGACCGCCACGACTGTCACGACGACTCGGCCGACCATCCTCAACCTCGAGACCAGCGTCCTCGTATGGGGGACCGAACAAGAAAGCGAGGGCAGTGCTGGACAGCCGGGCCTCATCATAGGACCGAGCACAGTTAGGGCTTCGAACACGATAGGAGAAGGACCCGGTGCTACAGGATCGGCGCAACAGCAGATAGAGCAGCACAGTCTCCTACTGCAGATAGTCTCTCAGATTGGGCGCGCACCATCGAATGTGCAGCCAGCTCAACCCGCATCTCCTGCGACAGAAAACCCTGGTCAAACTGTAGCGCCCATCAATAACCATAATGGAGGTGATAGTGCGCTTGCCCAGCCAGCAACCACTCCCGACTCTGGCATGGCGAGCAATACGGACATGATATCTCCACCACAAACAGCGCCAGCAGTAGCCATTGGCGAATTTGTATATGGAACACAGACGTTAACGCTTACGGCTGGTCTTAGCACCAACATCGGGAGCAACTTCTTCCCTACCTTTGTAGGATTAACGACTGACGCCGAAGGTAACACTTTGGTCTCGGTCTTTTCGGACGGGACTGCTGTCATTGCCACTGTGCGTGTTGCGCCTACCACGATGGTTGTACCAAGATCTGGCTTCGAAGCAAGTACCACTGATGCTGCAAATCCTGGTGAGCAAACTGGCGGTTTGGCTACTACCTCCAGCAAGGAGGCTGGAGCCGGGAGGAGGCGTAAACTGGAGTGGTGGATGGGTGCCGTTTTGGGCGCACTTAGCTTCGGTGCGACATTCTAGTAACAGGTGACATGAGCATTCGATTCATGCCGCCCTAACATAATGATGTTCTAATGAACCACAAGTCGCGATCATGCGCGCAAATCACCTGTCATACTGCATACTCATAGATTCCCGAGCCTCCACCTTAGACAAGCAAAAAGCTAAACAGGTCTGCAGCCTACATGAAGATCATAATGTACAAAGTAGGTAACGTTACGTTAACGTAGGCTTCAAGGTGTTTTAATTTTTCCTTAGACAAGGTGCCTCTGCCGTGCCCTACTACGTGTTCCACCGAAGCCGGCCCCGCTCTCTGTTGTCTCTTGCTCGCGCTCCTGGCTGAATCCAGCATGTGAGAACCAAGAATCGAGGCTGGAGAAAAAGTGACTAACTGCGTGCGGAGGCGGGAAGGACGGTAGTTCATGTCTGATACTGGTTGTTTTCAATGCCTCTTTCGATAGTAATATTGTTTATGCACTTTCTGTCAGTAGATACGGATAACTAATGAATCTTGGTCGTGTTCATCGCTTGCACCCATGGTTTCCAGAATTCCTCAATACCGCGCTCGTAATTCCAACCAGTCCAGTTGTAGTTTGTCATACCCCACGTATCTGGGAAACCCTGAAC